CTTGTGATTGTCGAATTGTGACTATTGGACAATTATTTTCAAGTCTTATGAACTGTGTATCGTAAATCTATTAGGTTAAGTTGATTTTTATGTAGTTTGTAGTTTGAGAAGGTTTGGTTGGAATGAAATGAGTAGTTGTATTCTAGTTTTGCCTACTTATTCGGTTACTTGTTGAGCATCGTACTGTTTAGTACTTACTCCTTGTTTCTACACATGTATAGGTTTCGAGCCTAGATCTGTGTAATTTCCTTTCTTCTAGTTACACCTGAGGCTTCTTAAGGATACATTGAGAGCAAGATGTTGTTATTCCAACGGGCTCTCTTGTTCCTATTTTATGTCTTGTTCTATTTGAGAAACAAAGACATTGAGATTTCTAATTATGTTTTAGTTCTATCCGTTATACATTAGTGGCTTGTATACATGTCGAATTTTAGGGTTTCATTAGAATAAATAAGTGTTCCATTCTTATGTTACAATTGTTTACTTTCCAATTTCTTTCGTGTTTTTGGATTGAGACTCAATTGTCTTGGTGGGAATAGACAAGTGTCATCTTGTCTATTTTGAGTCGTGATAAGTTACTACCAATTTCATGCAAACCGCTTATCTTTACACTTGCTTATCTATTCCAAAAAGTTTGTGGAGTAAAATAAATCTCAGACTAATTTCTTTTGTTCCTGCACTATCTTTTGAAAGGCTAGATTTTAAGACAAATGAGATACACACATCTTGATTTATCATGCTTTAGTGTCACTACACTGTCTACCATCCACTCAACGATCATAATAGATATCCAAAACAAGATGACTAGATGTAATTATGTAATATATATGCATAAACAGTGCAAAAATGTATGTGTATATATATCCTGTAGATCTTCTAAATTTGCATTCCAACAAAAGTATTTCATACGCGCAGAAATAATGTTGAACTTATGCCCACACGGGCGACATATATCTAGTAGAATAGAAACATGTGAACTTTTAGAAATGAATTTATTTATTTCATAAAATATCAACTAATGTCACAATTACAATCCATAGAAATCATTTCAATAAATAATGTTTTTTTAGATTATTATAGAGATGGTGTTATATATAGTAGTTATAACGTATGTGTGTTTTTCTTCAAAAATTAAAATTATTACGCTTAATTGTTGATGGGGAATAACACTATATAATAAAGAGTCAACTATTTGAAATTTATCTGACAGAAGAAGTGAGTAACTTCTATGCACGAAAACCTCAAATTTATTATAGAACCTATTAGCGAGGTGGATTAGAGAGGATTTATTTACTCACTTTTACCATTTAAATAGAGATATTAGTTATGCGGAGATTGTAACACATAGAATGAATGAGTTGTTATACCGTCAGTAATAATTTTAAGATTATTATGCATGAATTACTTTTTTTAAAGGGATAGTTCTTCATTCAAATAATCAATACCTAAATTGCTAGTATAGTAATCGAGGTTACACAAAATTGGAGCCAGAAAAGAATTAAGTTGAATTTGTAATGTACTCTTTAAGGCTAATGTACTTGAACAAAACTTATTTTGTATCATACTCCAAAGGAACCTTGTTTATATATGTGCTTGTGATAAAAAAAATTAGATACTTTATTTCAATATATATGCGTATCAGGTTAAAAATAAGACTCAACTTCTCTTCTAATCTTGAATATGCCAATATAGTCAATTGATATTTGAAAAGTTCCTATATAAGTTGTCGAATCCTAAAAAAAAGGTTTTTTTGGGAACACGTTGTTCAAGTCGACTTTTCTTATTGACCCTTCCAATACATATCCTCTAACTTCCCTATTTTCAGACGAAGATACATTCATATAAGAGAGATTCCACCAGAGAGCTAGCCTAGATGTAAAATGCAAATGCACTAATTTTGTTGAAGATGAAAACATAAAAGAAAATTAATCAGTCTATGAGAGTTTTATTTGATTTATCACTTTCACAATATTCACTAGTTACTAAAAAAGTTCAATTAATTTATCAATTTAGGCAACACAAAGCATCATTAAAGGCCTGGGGATGAAAAAACTGACTTAATAACATAAGAAATCCATGACCTTTTATTTTTCTAATCTAAAACCTCATATAGATGGATAATTCATTACTAACAACAAGTGACTTTATTAAAAAGACAACAATTGTTGATGATAGAAGACTCAATCTCTAAATAAATCTTCTTTAAGCATAGCTCCAATTTTAAGAACTCCAATAAACTCCATGATACTCCTGATTTCAATATTACTCCTCATCTTGTGGCTCAGGGGCAACATTTAAATCGAATTTCAGGTGCTCCATCAAAATAGAATTTTGTGTTTCTTTTTTAATCTTCTCTACCCACAACATGAATGTCAACTTCTGCTCCTCCATATGTTTATCTTGAGGTATTTCTAATCCAGGGTTCAGAATCCTATACATTAATACTCGTTTTTTTTCTCGTTACATGTTTGCAATTCTTTATGGAGATCTTTCAATTCCTCAAAACCATTTGATTTTTCCTCTACTTTCATTTTGAGAATATTTTCAATTATATCTTCTACACTTGTAGAACCATAGGAACATGGTTTTCCATCTGGTGAAAAGAGCATCACACCAACATCTGTCCCGGTTTGAGTTGCAAACTTTTTTGCATCATCAAACAAAATTTTTTTTCTTTTCGAGAAACTCACAGCACGTGCTCTCTCAGACTCGATAAGCTTCATTTCAATTTTTTGCTTGTCTTTCTTAGTTTCATTTCCATTGCAAAAGAATGATATGCAGAAGATAGTAATATATTTCTGTTGAATAATGCTGAGCAATTTTAAGAGGAACACTTGTACAATTTATAGTAGGTGTGTGAGTGTACTTGTCACGAGTATTGTAATGTTTTCTTACTATAATTCTAGCTATCACGTGTATTGTCATGTTTACTTAATACTTTCATATTATGATTCGATCTATTTATTTAATATTTTCACATTATATGGGTCTTTATATCACGTGTTCTTTCACATGTGTTTTCACATTTGTTTAATGCGTTCATATTATGGGTCTACTATAACATTCATATTATGAGTTTATATTTCATGTTATGCTATTACCTTGTACTTCAACAAAAGTTATAAAGTTGCAAGGCAATAATGTCGAATCGAATTTAAAGATATATATATATATATATATATATATATATATACATATACATACACACACATACACTTCATATTTTCTAATAGTTGATGCTTTACATTGTCATCCGGTGATGAAGAATAAACTTATATGCTAGTATCATCTTCACAAGCATAAGACATATACAAAAATGATAAACTTATGATAGATACTTTCAAATATGTATGTTAGCAAAATCAGATGCATAGACCAAAGTAATTTGTGTTGCTTGTACTTACCATTGGATCTTATCTCATAGATTGTATGTCATCTTCTCAATGTTTTTGACTCAATCAATTTTTATTTCTTAAAATGATTAGCAATTGACTTTCCTAATTTTCTTGTTGCTCGTACAATTATTTGCTATATCACAATACACCCTTTTACTATTTTAGAACAATTATATGATGTGGTTCACATATTTTTTCCTCTGTGAAAAATAATTAACAGTAATAGAAATTTGATAAAGTAAAAAAAATTATCTATTGCTTTGACAAATCTTGGTATAATTAATCTTAAAATAAATATGACTTTTACATACTTCACAATGTAATAGATATACGTGACTAAAATTTTGATGTATACATCAAATACAAATAGTGAACATTATAATTACTTTATCATAGTATGTGTAGGAGTGCATCTCACCGACTCTCCACTAATTCACCATCTTGAGAAGAAAAAATTGAAAGTTCATTTTATTTTTTTTTAAAAAAGATCATACAATTGAATCGCAATATTTTAAACTAAAAGTAAAATTCATTTATCTGTATGTACATCATCAAATATTTTTAACGTCTTCAATTGAATGACTTAAAGCCCGTTTGTATTGGCTTAAAAAGTAGTTTTTAAGTCAATAATAAAAAGTCAAATTGGAATAACTTTAAGTCAAAAAATAAAAAGTACGGTGAGACCTACTTTTATTTCAAGTAATTTTAAACTTATTTTAAGTAATTTTTGTCCTTGTCAAACACTTCCTAACTTATTTTAAGTCATTTGTTCATTATTTAAAGTTATTTTTTTTAATTTGATAAATACTTTCAAATGTAAAAAACTGACTTAAATGTAGGGTCAACCAACTTTAAGTTCAATTCAAAGAACTTTTTAAACACTAATGCATTCTCAATAAATAACATATAAATTATATAATTGATGATATATTCCTGGTAAGGCTTGTTTACATAATTTTTAAATCATACGTAGGTGCATAAATCATGTGCAAGATTAGTTATCCAAAAGTAAGATCATCTTAATATTTAAAACCAAAAATTACTTAATTGTTTTGAATTTCATCAAACAATTTATTAGTGTAAGAAGTTCTTCCTACACGGGGACTATTACCTCTCTATTTTCTTGGGCTGTCACGGCTCGAGCCAACACTTGAAAAATCGATCTGAACTCCGCATTTGTAACTTGTTCGGCCAAGGGATTGACCGGACCATGAGGAGGAGCTTTTTGTTCCACATGTTTTTAGCGTATGCTTTTCGAGTAAACTTATCCTCTAGAGCATAAGGTAAGGATTAGGAGAGAGACTTTATAGAGTTAAACTCTATAGCATGACTTTAGAGTAATGAAAGAAGTGAATTTTTTTAATAATCTTGTATCCTCTCATTCATAAATGTAGCGCGCTTCACGCTCATGAATAAGACTCTACTAGGCGTGGCTTTTGAGACATCTTATGACCATTCTATACTTTGTGCTCTGATTACCAATTTTGTCACGACCCAGGGTACACCCTATATGTAACATGGCGTATAGAATCCCGAAGGACTCCATACAAGCGACTTAGCTTTCACAACTTAAGAAATAGAACAATAAATAGTAAAACAATCATCTTAAGTCCAAAACAATTTTATAGAAAAGTGAAAGTCTAAACACATGTCCAATCAACATAGCCATCTATTACAATCAAATGAAATTAGGCCTAGCCCATACATCTTGTCCAAAAAAAGAAATACAAAAGAGAAACTAAAATGAAAGTAATTGGTCTTCGAACCATGAGGACTCACCAAGGTCGGGCAAGAATCAAAGTCCAAGATCTAGCCACTAAAATGGGAACCATGTCTGTCGGACCCTACATATGGAGAAAATATATGCAAGAGTATGTGTTAGTGCAAAAATGAACTAAGTATGATAGTTATGCATAAAAACATTTAAAATATGATAAAAGGGACATTTCATTTCATAACATACAATTGACCAAGTAAAACATGATATGAAAAAGTTAGAAAGATAAGTCATAACATCATGGCCAATGCAAGCTAAATTAAAACTTTAAACACATATGAGATATTCCTTTAGTAACCTTAGTTCACTATAGTCTTGTTGTGGAAAATTATCCTTAATTAACATAGAGACCATGTGAGCATAACATGATCACCTGATGTTTCCCACACTAAAAGGGATTGTTCTACTTACCTAAGGTAGAACCAAGAACTTTTAGCAGCCTAAGTGGATCCACTAGCTAATCATCCTATGAGGGCACATAATTTATGGGATAAGGAGATTGATACTAGAAATTCAGTCTCTACTAATGGGAGAGCATCAATCTCATCAGACTTCATCTAGAAACCCAACCTCTACTTACGGTAGAGCTCCTATCTCAATGGCAATATCCATTTGGTGCTAAGCATAACTTCGTGGAATAGTATTTTCTTACTTACACTCATTATCCATGGAAAGACATGCCATCTTGTCAATCCTAACTAGTTCATTAGGATAGCTCTTATTCATTGATTTAATTACGTAAGAATAGTCTTTCAACCTAAGAATCCTTTCTATGTAAGAAACCCATTCACATCATGCTAGTATGTGTTTATGGAAATAGCCTTTCACAACATAAAACATCATCATTTTGGACTTTACTTTCAAAACACCCTTTAACATCACATAGGTTTCATAAGATCATGTATAAATTCATACTTTTCCCTTTCAAAATTCAAAGTTTACTTTCAATCACAAAATCCAAAAATCATGGTTTAGATAGGTATTTTGTCATACAAAATCTAGAATCATGGCTTAGATAGGTATTTTGTCATAAATTCATGTAATTTTATTACTTCATGCTTCGGATCATAAAATTTGTCTTTCATAATCAACAACCCACATCATATGATCACAATTTGGAAAAATGAGGGTTTGCATGGGTTTATAGGTAAACATCATAAAAGCATTGTAAATCATCAATTCATGCATTTTCAGACAAAATTCAATCATTAAGATAAATAATCAAAGGAATCCATGACAATTGAAAAAAACCCTAACTAATTGGGGAAATCTACCTTTTGGAATAGAGGAATTTTGGGGACTCCATGAATATAAGAGATTTCATGGATGAAAGCTACCATACCTTAAGTCCAATTGCTTATATTCAATGGAGTAATTGAAATCTTAGCTTGAAACCCTATGTTGAATCTTTTTCTTCTTCTTTTAAGCTTTCTAGAGAGAGAATATTTGGGAGGAGACTTGATTTCTTTTGGGAAATTGGAAGAATGAATTAAATGGGGTGAATTTTGGGGTAAAAAGACTTATATAGGGGTTCTAAATATAGGCAAAATAACATAGTATAGGAATTAATCAATTAATTAATTAGGAAAAGATATAATCGCCCCTGAAAATAACTGTCAAACAGTGACACACGACACCATTATCACGGACCGTAGATGGACCTACGCTCTGTCCTGTACATCCATGGTCGGGTGGTCTGGGACCTGATCTTTGGGAAATCAAACCACGACCCTAGACCACGGACAGTGGATCCCTACGCTTCGTAGGTCCAGTTGTGGTCCTAGGCCTGGACAACTTTTTGGGTAGGCAATCCACGAACCTGACCTACAATACGTGGGTAAACCTACGGACCATCTTTGGTCCTCGTGGATGACTATAGGTTCTGAATTTTGGTTCATCACCCTTTTTCGAATACAAGATGTTACAATCACATATGTTTTTGGGTCGTGACAACAAACATGATTAGTCAAGTGATAATAAGCAAGAGAGTGTTCATTTAGAAAGGGACAAAAGTTAACTAATTTAAGGAAATGGTGGTGGATTTCATGATTGAAAATCTGATGCTCCTGCCAATTATTTAGACAAAATTTGGTGCTTCATGTCTGTTATGGAGCACAATTATGCAAATTATTATAGTTATAATATACAAATATGATTTTTATGTTTGTTAAACGTAAATTTACTCTTAAAGAGTTGTACATATCTCACTTAAGACATGCAAGTATCTAAAGTTAGGATGGATTAAACTAAACTTCATAGATAATATTTGAAATTAAATACGAATAAAGTTTATAAAAAAGAAAGATTGAATTAGTCATTGTTTTTCACTTTTTTGTCATATATAGAATAAACCAAATATTAATTACCAAATACTGGATGTTGCCAAAGTATTGGCCATATTTTATTTTTAGCTTGGATGAATTTTTAACGAATTGAAAGAGGGATGAAAAATTTACACAAAAGGTTTGATTATTTATTGACAATACTGTTTGATGAACATAAAGCAACCAGCTATGTAAGAAAAGTAAACCTGATTTTCTTGATGTATATATTGTTTTTCACTCTTAGTTCGTGATTATGCGTTTGTCTTAATATTCTTGTTTGTTTTATATTTTTGTTTTGATTTTGATACATCCAAAAATCTATTTAATATTTTTTAAAAGGAAAAATTATGTAGTTAAGCAAATTTATACTACTTAATTTACTTATCATAGCTATAGTTTGCTATAATTTTCATTCGCGATTAATATTATATATTAATTACGTGGGCTAACTTTGAGTTCGTATAATTATCCACATTTATATATGTATAATTCGTCAGAATATACAAATACATATGCATAATATACAGTTATCTAATCGATATACACATATAATTCACCTCTCTCCCACTCTCTGCCCTTTCTCGCTCTCCTCTCTCCTCCTCGCCCAATCCCGCTCGCCTCTCTCCTCCCTCTCCAATCTCATTTGCCATATATACAAATGCATATGTATAATATACAATTATTTAACCGAGATATATACACACAATTCATCTCTCCCCTACTAATTGCCTTCGCTCGTTCTCTCCTCTCTCTCTCCCGGTCTTGCTCGCCTCTATCCTCCTTGTAACATGTAGCTACGAATTACAATTATCAAACTATAATTATGGAGAGTGATTAGGCTATTTTTGAGTGACTATATGTGAAAGTTGTTTTTTTTTTTAAATGTCTTTAAGTCTAATTATTCATCATAGTTAATTCAATTATCATAAAAATATTTTAATAATTAAGTGACAAACCTCTTATACCATGCTAGCACGGGCCTAATATGTATCATGTTATTTATGAATGGCTCGTTCGAATTGTTCAAGGGGCAGCTATATTAATTTTAAAAAAATTTATCATTACTGCAAGTTGCAGGCAGTAGAGCCGTTCCAAGTGGTTTTTGATCCTTTTCTATGTGCCTTCAAGTGTCAAACAAAATTTTAAATAATCTTTGAAAGTATCCAGTCTTGCGTTGTCTCTTCTTTTTTCCTGGCAATCTTGCTTGATTTGACACTATTGACTGATATTACTCATATAAGTTGATCCATTCTTGAAGTATGATGGCCACTGCACTATCCGTCCGTCCATCTTTTTTCTCTGATCTCTAAAAAACTGCAATGAAAAAATAATAAAAGTATGGATATACATTTAACCCATCAAAATACACATAAAAGAAGAAATGATAGAATGGGGAAAAAAAATTAAGAATAAAAAATTATTAACATCTTATATTTGATATTTCACCAAATCAAAAAATTATTCACTATTTTCATAATTATTAGCACTACTTCGTAATTTTAAACATAGGTTAGTTGAGATCAAGTATATGAATTGTTTGTTTAGGCCAGGGGCATAGTGAAAGAAAGTTGAGGAAAATTGACGTATTTTATAGGTTAAACACGAGACATGTGTGTTCCAATTTTAAAGACAAATAACAGCCATGTTGAAACTTGAAACTGGCTCTTCTATAATATAATATAGATTAGTTTAGTATTATTTTTTCTTTCTTTTTCCATTTATATTTTTGATATTAATTTTTCTTAATCTTTATCTTCCCAACTATTATTTCATTGTTATACATTTGCTCTTTTTTTTCTACATTATTTTTATCTCTCTTTCTTTTTTTATTCAATTTGGGTAATTAAATATGGGCATAATCCTCTTTATGTATCCTATCATATATTAATTCTCTCTATAACATAATTCCTTTGCTTTCTATGTAGTGTATATTTTACTCAAAAATATATGATATATATAATAGTAAAAAAAATGACTAAGTTTCGAAAAATCAATTAATCTTATGATTTAAGAGAAATTGATTTTTCAAATTACAAAATCGCCACTTGATTTTTAGTAAAATCAAGAAAAACTTAAAATTATTTTTCAAAAGATTTAAAACAGATAAAAATCAGTTGAAAGGGGTTCGAAGTTCAAATGTACAATCCGAGAAGGTGTTAGGCCCTCGTAATGCCCGCTAACTTGCGGTACACCGATGATTTGACTAAATAGCCTTTTGAAATAATTTTCAAACATTGACCCAATGAAGTTCATTTTTTTTGTTTAAATATATTTATTTTTAAACTAAGGTGGATTTTACAAAAAAAAAGTTAATCCAAAATGTTGACAAAACTACTAGTAAAAAATAAAGCTAAATAATATATATATATATATATATATATAAAAGAGATGATTATCTTTGGGAAAATTTATTAAGTTAAACCAAAATGTTGAATAATACAATAACTGTTGTAAATTCATTGTATATATGGATGATCCATTAGAGTTATCCAACAATTAATTGGATTCATGTATTAGTGTTTCCAATGTGAAAAGATTTCAAGGTGATATGAACCTTGATGATAACTATGTATAATTCCATGATTATGATATCTCAAAACTATAAATAGAGATATCATTCACCATTGTATGATATACTTGAATAAGAAAATTCTCTCCTCTATCTTTATACTTTGCTTTCTTTACAACAATAACAAGTGACAAAGAGGGAAAGAAAAGAGAGATTTGGCTTTTGGGCCACTTAGAAAAGCAGGGCTTTAGGCCCAATTCAGCAGCAACCTTGAGTGGGGGGCTTTGGCCCATTTTCGTGAAAAGAAAATTGGGGTATACATTTGATGTATATTTGGTCCGTTGTGGACTTTCTGAAACCTGTATTTTATTTGGATTATGTATTTCCACACTTCCACCTGTATTTTCCGTAATTTTACACCTGTATGCGGGCGGTATATCCCGACTGCATACTGGCGTATACAGCCAGTATATCAATGCGCCTTTTTGAGGCTGGAAAATTAAATTCCAGCAATATACTGCTGCCATCAACCTGTCCACCTACTTCCTAAATGAATTGAGCCTCACTTAACGAATGGAAGAGGAAACGAGGGACTCGGTCAAAGCCATAAAAGAAAAAGGCAAAACATTAGCTAGAGGAAAATGACATGGGACAATTAACGAGAGAGAACATGCGAAGAAACACTTGCAAAACCACAACAAAGATGTTGGAGAGAAGAAGATTTCTTCTTCCACCATTGACACAAAGAAAGAAGATGAAATGATTGGGACAAGCATTGATGCTTCTAGATCTTGTCGGATGATGACTAAAGTTTGATATGGGCTGAAGTGGGCTGATGGAAGACAATTGGGTCACAAATAACATTCAGCCCAGTAGCTACACAATACAACAAAAGCAAGGAATAAAATATTTTCTAGATTAGATGATTTGTACATAATTTAGTTACAATCTGTTACAAAGTTTTGCTATTTATCTTGTAGTCTTTTATATTTTGCAACATAGTCCTTAGTTAGTTTGTATAAAGTTATCTCATTATTGATGAATACAAGCAGAGAAAATTTCCCAAATCACCTTCATTTTAATCTTCTATCATGGTATCAGAGCAGTAGCTCGATCTAACCATCTTCAATCTTCCAATTTTTTTTTGATCAATCATGGGCGATAATTCTCTCCCAACACAATCACAATCCAAAGAGGATAGAAACAATGGAACCATTGGTAACACCCATCCTTATCATTTGAGTAACTCAGATTCGCCTGGAATGAACTTGATCAACTCAACTTTTGATGGTAGAGGTTTCGCAGGATGGAGACGATCCATTCTTATTGCTCTTTCAGCTAAAAAGAAATTGGGTTTCATCAATGGGGTTTGCAAAGCTCCAGATTATGAGCAATGGAGTTATTGTAATGACATGGTGATGTCTTGGTTGTTGAATGCACTGTCTAAAGACATTGGAGACAGTGTGATCTACTCCAAAACAGCAAAGGAGTTGTGGGAAAGCCTAGAACAAAGGTTTGGGAGATCCAATGGAGCTAAGCTCTATCACCTGCAAAAGGAAATATCAAGTTTAGTACAGGGAAACAATGATGTAGCAGGATACTTCACCAAGCTCAAACGTTTGTGGGATGAGCTGGATTCT